TTTCCAAAAATCATTCATTTGTTATTGACATTTTTTATTAATGTTTGGGTAGGCTTCTGAATCTGCAACATGGGTAGCTAACTCAGAGGCAATCTTCATGCTATTGTCTGTAGTTAGCATTAAGTATTATTCCACCTGAGTATGTGGTGTAGCACCATCAGTGATTATTTCATTGGAGTTCCTCCGAATGTCACTCAGTTCTAACTTATGATTATTTCTTAGATCATGACTTTATGGTACTACGTAATGTTGCTCTTATTATAGATTAATTGATTTGAATGTGTAAAAAAAATTTTTTTTGGGGGTGTAGCTAAAAGCCAGCATTTATGTATATCCAGTTGCTCCATTTGACAAACTCCAAGATGCTATTCAATAGATCTACAACACTCTGTTTTCTATGGAGTGCATCTGTTGGTTTCTGTGAGGATAATTTGCTGGTTTTCTATATATGTAATCTTTTCTTGTTGCCCATATAATCTGGTTTGCAGTGAAGGTTTTGTATATTGCACTCTCAAGTTTGGCAGCTTATTATATTTTACCAGTATTGAATTAACACTCACTAAGGAAACTCACTTGTTGCCTTTTAATTATGGCTGTTAATATAATGGTTGTTATTTCATCTCCTTGTTGAACTTTGTTTATCTACCTTAGCAATCAACCTCTGTATCTTGTCTTTGATATTGGACATCTCCTTACTAACAACTACATGCTTCCAACTGTGTGAGGATATATGTATATATATATATATTATATATATTTATATTCAGCAGAAAAATTTACTCCTAGCATTTAGCAACTCTTTTCTCAAATATCTTTTGTAGCCTAATGGTGTATAGTTCAAAGAGGTTTTCTTGTGCATTCATTTTAAATGGATAGAAAGTCTGTATCATATAATGCTGAAATCCATCCAATCGCAAAAATTTAAGGCATACAGAATGATGCATTATGTTGAATTGGACTATGTAAGTAGGATATTCAGCTTAAAAACCTGGACTTAAATCAAAAGGGCCCACCAGTAGCTGATTGGTTGAAACCACTGAATACTAGTAGTTTGACTTGGCTTGGGTTCAAACCCCGGTCAATGGATTGGCTGCATGGTTCATTTTTGTGGTTTTTCCCATGGTATGAAATGATGAATTGTTAAAATTTTATGAACCAGTTTCCTTTGCTCAGTCATCGACGAGGGCATCTCTACTTTTAGGCAGATAGCCTTTGCCATATTCAAATAACCTAACCCAACCTTAAATTGAAAGCTTCTAAAATTTTCCCCAAAGAATGTTAGTATTGCTTTATATTGTTGGTTATTTAAAATTTTGATTTGAATATTATTAGTCAAAAATTTAATATTTCTCATGTTTACTATTATGTAACTATAGGTAAGCAGCATTGTATTAGTAGCATGCAAATTCAAAGAATAACAGGTCTAAAAAATATAAATTATAAACACAACAAACGAGTGCAGAAAAGGGTTACCAAATTAATGAAACTATTAGAATTTTATCCACACATACACACCATAAATTTTGGGGGTGTGTTTTGTTATAGTTTATATTTATGCAGCTGTGCACTTTTATGTAAAAACCATTCATCCTTGCAAAGCTAAAAATAAAAAATTTATCTGCCCCATTTTGGGGGGGCATTCATAGTTCCATGTGCTTTTTTTTTTTTTTTCATGGCTTCATCTTACAGTCTGCACTCATACAGATACTATGTAAAATGCATATGTCCATTGGTCCTTATTCTTTGTGGCAGCACACCAAAACCATTTAATGGTCATCTTCTGTAATGTTAGTACAAATGTTTTTGCATCTCTGGCTTCCTTCAGGTGTACACATAGTAAATTATATATGTTAAAACTCATCCTCAACTTGTCACTGAGAAGAACACTGACCTCTTGTTATAGAATCCTGTTCTGCGTTCTCTCTGTGGTTTCATGTATTAATGTGAGCTTTCTTTTATTGCAAGATGAGTAAAATAGAAACCATTGGCTTCCTGGCTTTGTCATTAATCCTTCTGCAAACAGTTAACTACAATACTGAAGTTTTGGTGTTGCAAGCTTTAAATCAGTTACTCTATAGTTCAAGTTCCTGTCATGGTAACCTGTTATGGGCAGAAATTTATCTTGAGAAACCATTGTGTTTTAATTTTTATTTCCTTGTAGAAGTAAAGGCCATTTCGATCCGCAATCCATTTGGATGTTTTTTTACGTGACATCTGTACTTTACAAAATGGATTGTAATGTTGATTTAAAATGGATTCAAAATAATTTTTTTTCATGATGATTCAAAAGGGACTTTTTTCGTGACAATTCAAAAGAGATTTTTTTCATTTAATATACATTTTTATGTGAGGCCCGGTGGCGCAGTGGCTAGCCCATTGCGCAGCAGCACCACAGATCCGGGGTTCGATTCCAGGGTTGGGCAAGGTCAACTCAACCTTTCATCCCTTGATTTTCATCACTTTGGTCGATAAATGAGTACCAACTTCACTTGGGGACTAAACACTAGGGGTCCTGCGACAAACTGACCACTTGTTCAGAGCATATGCTTATGTACCCCAGGGCCCACAGTCAAGAAAGCAGATTTTCGGGCACTGCTGGCCTTGGCCCATTAAGGCTTTTAGACCACTGAGTTTAGTTTTTTTACACATGTATGTATCTTGCTCAACTCAAAACTGCAAATTTTGCACTGCTGTAACATCTGATGGTGCTTCTTCCTTTTTTATTGTGATCAGCAGAACCAAACATTTATATATATATATATATATATACACACACACACACACACAAGGTAATCGAACAAGTTCTTGCCATTTCTGATATGACATTGGAAGAGTGAACCCCAACATAAAAATATTCGTCAAACCTGGCGATGAAGTGGTTAGGATAGGAATCCGGACATTGACCAAGAGTATTAAAACGTGTTGCATCGGTACTTCCAAACATAACACACAGCAACTGTTTAAAATGGACACGTCAAAGGCACTCGTTCGGAGCTGTTTGCTGTGTGATTTTAAAGTGGGCCTGTCAGCAGCAGAATCAAGTTGCAAATTTACCAAGCCTTTGGGGGATGATGCCGTTAACGAATGAATCCAGAAGTTCAGGTCAGAGGATATGTCTCTTAGTGATGCATCATGTAGCGGTCGGCCACAAGCGCTGAACAATGAGGCCCTGAGAGCAGCCATAGAGTGACAGTAGCCAAATGTGTGGTGAGCTTACTGCACACTTCCAGGTATTTGATGAAATGATCAGACTCCATTTGCACCACATAGGAAAGGCATACAAGCTGAGCAAGTGGGTACCTCACTCACTGTCCAATGCAAACAAGCAACAGCATATTTCTGCCTCTTTGTCTTTGCTTACTCGGCACTGCAAATAATCCATATTTGATCGAGTACTCACCAGGGATGAAAAGTGGGTCCCGTATGATACACCCAGGCATTGGTTGTCACTGTGGGATGCTGTGCCTCACACACACTGTGAGACCGCCTCTATGCAAGATCATGCTCTGTATCTGGTGGACTAGTCGTCAAGTGGTGCACTATGAGCTCCTGCCAGTTGGCCAAACCATCATGGCAGGCCTGTTCTCGCAGCAGTTAGAACATGTGCATTAGGCCCTGATGATGCATAAAGAGCCGGTATTGGTCAATCATAAGGGTGTACTCCTCCTTCATGACAATGCGAGGCCACATGTGGCTCAGGAGGCCAGAGACACCATCCAGCAACTGGGCTGGGAGACACTATCCCATCCACCATACTCCCCACACACCTCGTGCCAACTGACTACCACCTTTTCCATTCTTTGGACAACCATCTTCGTGGGAAATCCTTCAGTCCTCGAAAAGGACCTGATGGACTTCTTTGCATCCAAGACTCCTGAGTTTTACCGCGATGGCATTGCACAGCTAACCACTCATTGACAAAAGGCACTGGATGGCGATGGTGATTACTTTGAGGATTAGTGGTGGTTATTGTATGTTTTATGACTTTTCCACCCTGACTATCCAAAATGGCAAGAACGTTTTTGGTTACCTTGTATATGCACCCTCTCATCCAGCTTAAAAACCCTTACCTGGCCTGTATTTTTACAATTGTTGATCATAATCATATACTTCCAAATACAGAAGTATTTTAAATGACAAAAATATTTGTTTTGGCAATGTGAAATTAGAAAAAAAATAATAATTTTCAGCAAATAATGAAATTGAACTTTTAATATGGTCTCACAGTTCATATACTTATATTTTGGAAAATTCTATACGTGTTACAAAAAAAATAAAAATACAAGAAGTTTGATTGCTGTATGACAAAAACTGACCAGGATATTTTATTTTAAAATTAGCAGTTTTTGATATCATTTTCAACTTGCCTTGAGTTTTCACTTAATTAGAATAAGTGGAGGAAATAAGTTGAAAGGAACTGCTGCAAAAAATGTGAATAATTGAATAGGCTGCAACAGGAAGTTATGTGGTCCCCACATCAAATTTTTTAGAAATGTTTGTGTAAGATTCCTGAAAAGAATTTGTCTATAAATTGTTTAAAAAAAAGTTTTGTGGCAGGCAACTACTTTGTCACTTGTCTCCGCTGCTTCTAAATGGCTAACAGTTCTCCACCTCCGAGATTGTTCCAAGTGATATAGTTGCAAAGGAAAGAACTGTTTCTTAGTAAGCTAGAAATCGAACAGACTTCAAGATATTATGTGGAGCAGTTTTTTTGCATTCAATGCATAATCATGGCCTCATTTGTCTGTCAGGAAGATATGACAGTCTGAGTTGGATAATGACATTTATGTCTTTTGCTCATCCAAATTAAAAAAAAAAAAATTATCAGTTGCTTCATGAATTACTTCTATTTTTTTTTGTATGCAAGGATAATTTTAAGATATTAGTGTATGTATGTGTTTATATCAGTTGTATGAATTTTCTTTACCTAAAGTTCATTCATAATTGCTTATATTTTTTGATTTTGTATACTTTTCCCTCATTGCTGTTATCTCTTTCAGTTCTATTGCTGTTGATAATTTAGAGCCAGAACTACAAGAATGTATTTCAAAACTCAAGCTATCTGAAAAGTATTTGTATTATAATAAAGGTCTTTAATGTTAACTAATACATTATTATGTAATGAATTCAAATTAATTTTATACATAGCTTTATGTGTGTTTTTTTTAAGAAAGAAAGTTATAAAGTATTCTGCTGTGGATGTAGTCTTTGTTTCTTTGAACATTTTAATATGTTTTATTGATTAATGTGAAAACATAGTTGTGATTAAGTTTTATACATTGTGTTGTTGATAGTTGCAGTTAAAAAGTTTCTCCTCAACCACTTAAGTCCACCTTATATGCTTTTGTCTAGTATGCCAAAATTTGCCATTTCTTGGTTACAACATGGAATGTTACAATCAGATTCTGTTAGTTTTCAAGTTTTGTTCCATAATGAGGAAAAAGTACAGTAAAGAAATAATATAGTAGTAACAAGTAAAAAATAGTTCATTCATTAATGCTACTATGCATTGTATAAAGCTGTAGAATATATTTCTGATTTGCTTGTTTATTTCATACACAGTGGTAAAAATATAAATAAAAAAAATGTGATTATTTCATGAATAGTAAGCTTTTTGAAAAAAATCATGGAAAGAAGTGTGTTTGATAGCTTTCTGTATTTCATAAAGAACAGGGAAAATAAAAAAAGGGAGGTGAAAGTTTCCATACTTTTTTTTATCAATTTTGTAACTAAATTTTTACTTATGTTCACCATTTATATGTATTTTAGTATTATTTTTAAGATATGTTTTTTTGTTCCTTTTTTAATTTAAAAGGTTCATGTTATTCTTTTAATAAATTGGATATAATCTTTAGCTGTTCCTGAAGCGAGTCTCTAACCCTGTTTAGTTACATTAAATAAGTATGCATATGTACATTAAATTTTCTTGTAAGAATGCATGTGTACATGGCTGTGATTATTGTAACTAGTCCTATAATTTAAGAATATGTGTCCCAATTTGTTCAAAATGAATATAGATTTAAATGAATATAGCTGTTATTTTGTATAAGCTAATCATAAATTAATGTAGTGGATTTCAACAATGAATAAAACAGTTTTAATAATATAAAAATATTTAATATTGTCTAATTTATTTTTTGGTATCTTATATTTAAAACTGCTCACTCTTTTAGTGTGTTCTTTCGAGAAGTGATTTCAGTTTAGGCTTGTGTTTCAGAAATCATGATATTTACTTTTAGAATTTAGGTTCAGTATTACATCAAAGTTGTAGAAAATAGGTTTGGTTTGATTGTTTAATTATGGATGCTTATGTCTAAGAGGACGGATGCCTTTGTGGAGGACCTTTTAAAATGAAGTGGCTCGTATACATATAACATATGGAGAAAACCATGAAAATGCCCATACAGCCAGCCTGGTTGCTAGGATTCAAACCACGGACTGAATTACCAGTGTTCAGTGACTTTACCCATGGCCTCCAACTAGTACGGATTCTCTGTAGTTTCTACAGAGATTCATGAAAAACTATGAGCTACAAAAGTATGGGAAAAAACTACGGATTTTACAGAAACTGTAGGAAAACTAGTACGCAGAATGGAATCAAGTAATTCATCTGATGGTTGGGTGAATACTCGTGTCATCATATATCATGTGTTGAGTGTATTGCTGGGTTTGAAGAGTAGCCAGTCATAGATAAGTAACTCCAACCATTAATTACTTGTCTGTAGTTCTCTGCACTCCCAGGTTCGTTGCTACTGTATAGGACTTGTTTAGCCTGCCTCAGCTCCATTGTTTAGATTACAGTGAGAGCGTAGCATGTGTGTCTTGCGAGCTGTGATTCAGCTATAAGTTTTTTGTTAATTATGCTGCTTCAAACGAAGAAGCTAAAATTATCAAAGCAGAAATTTAAAGATTCATATTCTTCAGAATTTCCATGGATTAAACATCTGAAATTTCTGTGAATCACACACATTGCAGTGTATGCAACAAAGTCTTCTCAGCTGTGCATGGCGAACAGCAATGACTGTAAACAGTATGTTTTTCCCCAAAAGCATAAAGAACTTGGCATTGTAAAGTCTAATAAATTTCTTCTTAAAAGATGATGAAATAGATGCTGTAAAAGGCAAATGCTATTTTGTTTGATTCTGTGTAAGATTTTGGAAAACCACATATACTTGTTTTTCCAAAATTCCATCTAGTCATGATTTAATCTGCATGTATGCAGAATCTATCACCACTCGGGCCATGACTATGAAGTTAGTTGGTGCCTTCTTTTATCTACAACTAAATCATAACATATGTATTAAAAAAAACTCTTCCTTTGCTAACCCTGTAATGCTTCTTTTTGGCACATTTGCTAGCAATAAGCTAAGTGTAAAAAATGATAGGAAAGGAAACATATTGAGAGAAAGTCAAATTCAGGAGTAAATTGTCATAATTGGGATTTAGTTTCATCAGATTAAAAAGTCGCAGTCAGGTTATAAATATTTTTTAAAGTTAAAAGAAATTTTAATGAATAATTTTCTTGTAATCACACTTGAAGCATTTTTCAATCTGTATTTAATTTACTCGATGGAAGAGCCAAAGTAATGTTAGTTACTTGATGGCAAAGTAATGTCTGCTTGTTAGCAATAACAAGGAGATAGAAGCACTTTTACCTTTTAAACATTGGTTAAATCTATAATAAGCGCATTTGATTATATTTAACTTTCAGAATGATTGACAACAAATTTGATGTGCGCAGATATGCATCTCATCGTTTGATGGCTATGTTCTAAATCTGTGCTGCAATCTTCCGATTCATCGTCTCACTCAAAATTATAACCATAAGATATAACAGTAAGTATGTAAGATAAAAACATGTAAAGGAAACTTCTAATTTTTATTGGCAGTAGTCCCTTTTATTCTTTAATTTGTGTACTTCTATTTTCTGTCCTAAAAGTTGAAACTATTTATAACATATCTATCTAAACTGTGTCATTTCAAAATTAATCTCTGTCATAAGATTTTATGTAATGCTACAATGCAGACATCTCTAATCCAATCACTGAATAAGATTTCTATTAAAGTTATATTTTTTTCTCTCTCCCACATTTCTTTTGAATGTATCATGCGCTTTTCTGTTTCCTTCCTTCAAACCCAACATATTGCTACCTGCATCACTTAAGATTCATTGTCTGAAGATATGCTAATCTTCCAAAATTGTGGGGTGTATAATGTGCCCATGATGATGTACGAGTCAGAATATGTGTCTCAAGAATTAGTTGTCTGGTAATAAATTATGTGGTATCTACGGCTGCATTTGTCTGCAGGTTTCCTCATTCTGTCTATGCAGTAAACCTCCCCAATCTATTATATATACAATACCCGCTGTTTATTAAACTCGCTGGTTAACCAACTCATCTGCTTATTGCATTGAAATTTCCAGGAACCAAAACAAATACATAGTAATCAATAGAAAAACTGCCTTTTATTTAATGCATTTTTGCAGCTTATAAAACTCGATTTGGAAAAGATTGATTCTTCAGTGCCAGAGCATACTACTTAATGCCAATCAAAATTTTTCTACTTCATCTATAGTGACCATTTTCGCAGCAGAAAGAGACATGTCTCTTTCTGCAGATATAGCTCCAGACATTCAGCCTTTAGGCCAGTGTATGATAAATGCTTTCAAATGTCATTACAGAACGAGATGTTCAGAAAATGATGAAAAGAATAGAATTTTGTGAAAATGCAAGCACTTTGAAGGAGACAAGCAAGTTGATATATATGATAGAGGCCATGCATATTATAGTCATTGCAGGGAGTTAATCTTTTAACCACTTGCGCAAAAAAGACGTGCCAAGCACGTCGAGATGCTTTTGTCTCAAACCGCGAGTGATGTGAACACCACATCGATAGGCATTTATCGCGAAAAAGAAAATAACGTGGTGCACACGTCGCCTAACAACGAGATTGTTTATTTCTCGAGTTACAGCACTCGAGTTACACTCGCAGGTGAGGAGCCGTGTAAATGAGACACTTTACCGCTTGTTATATTGTAGCGTATGGCACTGCAACCGTTTAGTCGTAGCGCAAGTGGTTAAGACTAATCAAAACCCATTCTTGAAAATGTTAATTTATTGTAGAAGACGCCTCAGAGGAATAACAAGCTGTAACTAATGTTTAAAACATAAGTTGAGGTAAGTTATGAAGATTAATTTTTAGAATATGTGTTGAATCACAACAATAATGCTTTGGCATAATCAAATAACCCAACCTTTTATGCTAATACTGAGAAGGAAGGACAGTTTAAAAATATGTCTTAGATTTATAAGCTACCAGGTTGGTATAATATTGTAAACTGCAGTACTTACATTAACTATACATTGCTAAGGCCTAATTTATAAAAAAATTATTACTATTTTATCAGTTTCAAACTTTTGAGCAGCATTACTTTTTAAATAAAATTTATTTATGGTAAGCCATTATATTTGGGTATTTTTGATAGCTTTAAAGATGTTTGGTGTTGTTGCTTATGCTCACCTGTCTGACAGTAACATCAGCCCAAGCCCACGAAATTCCTCGTGGCAAGGAGTGCAAGATTACACCTGTCATTGGCAACAGCCTTGAACACCACACAGATGACAGTGCGATTTAGCTCAGTTCCGCCCCCATTTTTGATGGAGAGCACCCGCTGGAGGACTGGTCTGAGAGTCTTGCACCCCTCCTCCCTGCCACCAAACCACAAGAGGACTTTCAGCTTGTCGTATATTTAGAGTGCCACCATGCCGCACCGACACTATACATTTATAAACATTCACGTCTTCTCCGGGATTCGAACCTGGGCCCTTGGGCATGGCAGTCAGCGATGCTAACCGCTATACCGGTCAGGTGGCTAAATATGTTTTAGTATAAGGAAGTGGTGCAGAAGGCTTTTGCAGAAACTGATAACACCAAAATAAAAAATGCTTCGAACTGCTTATAAAACTTGCGTAAAGCGATGCTTATGCTTTCTTCATCAATGAAACCTGTCAGCACTTCACTGTAACATGTAACAAAGCACTGCATTTGCCAGCTGCCTTCAAAAAGCTGAATTTAAAAGACCTTTTCATTACTGGAAGAGATAAGCTATTATTAGGAGATAGTATTTTATACTTATTTATTTCCTAACATAAACATGAAGTATAGAACAAGCAAAAAGACATTTATAAATACAAAAAA